AAGAACAAAACGATAGCAACTTGTCTGTTCCCCTTGCCCCAATTCCCCAGCACTGTTCCCATCCCCCAATTCCCCAATAAAAATCTTAAAAAAAAACAGGAATCCTAGAATCCACAGAGATTTTAAATGAAAAAAAAAAAAAGTCTGATGAGGAACAGGGATATTTAGAATCTCAAAATACCTCCACAAAAAACCTTTATGAATTATGAATGGGGAAACGCATAGCTTACAGTGGAGAATTCTGGAGACATCCCCTTAATCAAGTGTTCAGAGATGAACAGCATCAGTAATAGAATGTAAAGAAAACAGTTAACACAACGAGGCTCACACAATCCTTAGAAAGGCCAGCTTGGCTTGCAAGGATGGTCCACGGGTGACTACTGGGAACTCGGATTTGGAGAGCAGAGAAGGGTGTCTCAATGTGTCCAACTGTGTGAACAAACAGTATGGTTTATGCGAACACCTCCTTTCCTCTGCGAGTCAGGGAGTTTGGTGCATGCCCAGAAAAGCGGGGGCCTACGTGACCAGCACCCGGTAAAAACCTTGGGCACTGACCCTCTAATGAGCTTTCCTGGCAGACCACATTTCTCTCCCATGTTATCATATTCGATGCTGGAGGAATGAAGTGTGTCTTGTGCGATTCCACTGGGCCAGTGCTCCTGAAAGCTGCCTGGTGTTCCTTTTGCTGACTGTGCCTTTTCCCCTTCCCCAGTAGTGAATCTTAGCTGTGCACATAACTACCCAGCTGAGTCCTGCAAGGCCTTCTAGCCAATCACCAAACCCGGCAGCAGTATCAGGGAACCCCGACATGAGACAAACCACAACCATGTGCCACTTAAGAGGCTACAATAAGATCACAGCATCGTTTCTGTGAGATCCCCGTCCAAAATATATAACCTGAATCTAATATGAGAAAACATGAGATGAAACCAAAGAGGGGCATTCTACAAAATAACAAATGTAATTTTGAAAGTGTCAAGATTATTAAAGTCAAGAAAAGACTGAGGAACGGTTCCAAATGTAAAAGACTAAGTGTAACGTGTGATTCTGGAATGGATCCTCTTTTCTATAAGGGACATCTGGTGATACTAAAGTCAGGCCTGGGATAACAGAAACATGTCATTGTTACTCTCCTGAATGGGATGGACATGGCACGTAGGAAAACTCCCCTGTTAGTAGGAAATAGCTACTAAAGTGTCTAGGATCATGGGACATCATACCAGGACTGTACTTTCAAATGGTTTAGGGTAAAAATCATTCTTGGTACTGTTCCTGCAACTTTTCTCTGAGACCAAGATTGTTTCAAGATACAAAGTAAAATAACAAAGATAATGACGATGATGACTGCATTCCTTGGTACCAAACTTGCGTCTTTATAACGGTATAAGAGAAAGTACAAAATCCTATGTAGGAACTGAAGAAACTAGGGCAAGGCTGAGAAAAGTCCCTTTTCCCTCACCAAGGAAAAAGTTTACATAATCAAGAAAGCTTCAAAGCCAAATATTTTAACTGTACTGGTTTATGATTATTACACAATCACTAAACGCAGAAAATTACCTGAGGGTACAGAATTGAATATAGTTTATCTAGTAATTACTCAATGAGTCTTGGCTGTCAGTGATAAAATTAAGAATTTTTACTCAGTGTAAATTTTCACAGCTCACTTTCAGCTAGAAAAGACCATCTACAACATCCATTGCAAACGAATCACTAAAAAATTCCAAAAACACTAAATTACCGTTTGTGTGCTTCCTGTTTGCTGCGACATTCTTCACAGTAGTATTTGTATTCACTGCACAGAGTTTCTGTGTTGCTAAAACCCCTGTGTAAAATTCAAAATAAATTTATTTTGTCCACACCAGAAAATCATGTCCTCATTTAGAAATATTCTAAACCAAAGATTTTCATTAAATTTCACAATAAATAACTCTACATTTACCTTAAGCAGTGAGTAATTGATGTGTTTTGTTCCACGTCAACAGAAAGGTCTAAAAAATCTTCATCTTTGCTGCTTATCTGTAAAAATAGGGAATAACTTTTGAAATCTTCAAATATCAGTAAACCACTGTTCAAAAATGATAAAACTAAATACATTCTAATATTAGTACTAAGTGTATGCAGAATTCTTTTTCCCCAAGTTCAAAAGAAAATGACTTGATCTGGATTATTCAAAAGAACACTGAATAAGTAACTCTCATAACACATACAGGCAAAACCCCAAGTCCACCTGTGGCAGATTGTCTTACTGGCAAAAGCCAGTATAGTGTGACATTCCATTACTTTCCAAAATCTTGGTGTTATTGTAAAGCATGAAACAAATGGTACCACATAAACCAATTCTTAAAAAACATAGGCCAAGATCAAATGAGAATGCTTGGCAAAGAACATGACACCTGTATTGTTTTATCATTTAAGAAAATAATTTAGACCAAAATGCCAAATTACAACCTTCATTTATGACCTTTTATTTCTCAAGAAAGTCTAATATGGGGCCGGCTGAGTGGCACATTGGTTAAGAGTTGGCTTGGGACGCCAGCTCTGAGCAGCAGGGCCTCGGTTTGGATCCCACATTAGGGCCAGTGATGCTGCGCCCTCTACAGCTAAGATGGTGAACAACAGCTCAACCTGGAGCTGGGCTGCTGTGAGTCGCCGGCGACAGCGTAGGCTGCAGTGAAGCTTCAGTGGGCTGCCAAGAGCCACCGTGAGCGGCTGTCCAGTGGCTGGCAAGCGACTGCCTCACCTGGGAAAAGCGCAATGATAATACCAACATGGGCCAGTGAAGCGACGTCTCCACAAATAGACTGAAGAACAAAAGGACAGCAACTTGTCTGTTCCCCTCCCCTAATTCCCCAATAAAATCTTAAAAAAAAAAAATCTAATATGAACCTCTGTTTCACTTATGGGCAGATCACGTTATAAAAAATGGTTACTACTTATTCATTTGAATTGGATCATAACAGAACTTTAGACACCAATTTTCCTTGCTATTCCCTTCAATGACTCTATGCCCAAGGTGAGCATGCAATAGAAGTCTGACTCTGCTCCTCTCTCACCCACAATAATGGCACACCCAATGGAGTGAGGACTTTCCCGTTTCAATACTACACCAGTGTTATACACTCAGTTTCACTAGCCTGTGATAGATTATGTGGCTATACATGTATTAGATACTTATGCAAATTTGGGTAAACAGGAGTATGTGTATACAAGGTACAGTAACACTACAAGACAACTCATCTGGGTCTCCAAACATTCAGTAAAAAAGAAGGGCGGGAAGACAAGTAAGAGAGGAAGGGAGCATGATGTGCTTTAGGAAAAATCATTAGTTCCCTATTGTAAGGAAGTGGCAAGGGTGACAAGAGACAGTATGGGAGAGGAAGGCTAAAGCCAGATCAGGCAGGCTTCATATCAGATAGGGGAGGGTTAAAGAAAAATAAAGATTAAAGAGCCCAGTGTTCCTCAGCATGAGGTTTGTGATCCTCAGACACTGCCTCAGAATTCAGCGTTTTAAATTTTCATTTTTATGGTAACATAAAAAATTTGACATAAGCATGTCCTGGATCTTCTGGATGTATCTGAGTTACTATGTTTATGTTCACAATTGTGGTGGTGCCAGGTGATCACCAAGTGGGGCAGTATTTAACTTTTAAAAGTGCCTGTAAACATGTCTGATTGTTTGTAAACATGTCTTATTGTTGCTATGTCCCAATGTGAGTGAGGTCACAGCCAGTATCTGGGAGACACCAGCCTAAAATTCACCAACAAGTCTGAGCTAGAGATCTGGACTGGGTAATCACCAGTGCAGGTGGTAATGAAAATGGCATGTGACCTTCCCAATGCAGAGTGACAGGCAGCCCAAGGTGAAACCCTAGAGGATACCTACCTTTAAAGGATAAATGGAAGAAGAAAAGCCAAGGAATGAGACCAAGAAGGAACCATCACAGAACAGAGCAGAAGACCAGAAGGGGTTGCTGTTACAGAAATCAGCCTCCTACCAAAAGGGGTATTAACAACTGCATTACTAAAACCTGCCATGCAAAGCACTGTCTCCTCCAGGACGCCCATCCAGAACCTTTCCAAATGCCTACTCCCACCTGGGCTGGGCCTACTGTCCTCTGGCTCCAGGGCATCTCATGCTTGCCTGAACCATACACACTGCACTGGAACTGTCCGACTAGTTGTTGATGGGTCTTCACTACCCTATGAGCATCCTGAGATGAGAAATTATGTCTTATTCATCTTCTATCAACCTTTACTCATCTTCTACCTGACATTACTGGTACCCAAATACTTGTACAAAACTAAATGAACAAATGATACATACTTACCCTTGTAAAATCCTGTATTTCATCTCTCTAGCTTAGTTAGATAAAGCTAGATCATTAATTTGGTACTAATAATCATCTAAATAAACAGCAGCTTAGATTTTTGAGAAAAAACAGTCTCAATTCACACCCTTAATTCTAGGGAAACTATCTGCAAATATATATTGCAGGCCACAGGAGGACCTAGTGAAGAATGCATGGACAGATCCTTATTTGTAGTGTTACTACAAATCAAATTAATAAATATTTGAACACTAACAAGGATGGCTGATAGGACTTTATCCTTCAAAAACATTTAATCCCCAATCCCAAGACCCCCCCGGTCTACAAAGTAAACTTCATCAGCACAGCATCCCAAAGACCTCCACACAGGGTCCCAAATCTACCATGCCAGCTTCACCTATTACTGCATTCCTCACCATGCTAAGCAAATCCAACTAGTATTGGGTTGTCGGAAAAGTCATGACGTATTTTTTCTGTGTTTTTCATTGCAAAAATGCGTCGTGACTTTTCCGACAACCCAATATTTTCTGTTTCACTAAAGGCTGAATTATAGACATCTTCTAACACAGACCAAATTCCATTACCCTAAACATTAAGCAACTGCCAAATTCTCTGATTTACACCTACTATTCCAATAGAAGTACTGCTCCAGTGATTGGGTAGCATTTCCTAAAGCTTAGAATTCAGTTATAATAAAAATTTTCTTTATAAGATATATCGAAAAACTCATGTTAAAATGACTGACACTGATTAGACTGAATAAAAATGAGTACTGAGCCCAATTCTCAGCATCAAACATTGACCAGTCAAAGCCATTACTGCAATTAACTGATGGCTGCAGCAATGAACAAAGCCCACACCAAAAATATCCTCCTAACTCTGACCCCAAACATCTTCACAGGTGGGTTGTATATTTAAGCACTTATACCTCTCACTTGATCTGAAAGAGGTTCACCAATAAAAATTTATTTAGAAAAGGGAATTTTATTTATTTACTACTATTGCATCCATCAATTAAAATGACACTATTGACAATGACCATTCTGCCAATGTAGGTTATAGTTAAAAAGATCAAGCCATAATCAATAGTCAATAGATCACTCACTGTTGTGGGTTATGGTTTCTATCTAAAGACCATACCTTTTTTTTGGTGGATGAACCAAAAGGATCACCATTTGCTTAAAAAAAAAATGCCATTTACATAAGCACACACATAAAAAAAAATACTTAAGTGTAAATCTAACAAAATATGTACAAGATCGATATGCGGAAAACTATAAAACTCTAATAAAAGAAATAAAAGACATGGGCCGGCCGAGTAGCTCAGTTGGTTAAGAACTCGCTCAAGAGTGCGAGGTCTGAGCAACAGGGTCACCGGTTCAAGTCACGGCCCAAGATGAGCTGCCACCAGGTGGCAGGATGGCTCAGCTAAGAAAAAAAAAAAAAAGATGTAGATAAATATACAGTCCATGTTATGTGGATACAAAGACTCAATACTGTCAAGATGTCATTTCTTCCCAATTTTATCTGTAGATTGAAATTCCTATCAAAATCTCAGCACATTATTTTGTGGATAATAAATTGGCTTCTAAAGTTTACATGGAAGAGGCAAAAACCCAGAATGTCCAACACATTAAAGTTCAAAGTCAGAGGACTGACACTACCCAACTTCAAGACTTACTATAAAACTACAGGAATCAAAACAGTGTGGTATTGGGGAAAGAATAGACAAATAAATCAGTGAAACAGCATAGAGAGCCCAGAAATAGACCCACACAAATATAGTTAGTTATCTTTGACAAAGTAGCAAAGACAATTCAATGAAGAAAGGAGTCTTTTCAACAAACGGTGTTGGAACAACGACATTCACAGGGGAAAAAAATAAATAAATCTAGACATAGACGTTACACCTTTCAAAAATTAATTCAAAATGAATTACAGTCCTAAATATAAAATGCAAACTATAAAACTCCAAGATGATTAACAAAGGAGAAAATCTAGATGACCTTGGATTTGGTGATGACTTTTGAGATACAACACCAAAAGCATTTAAAGAACACCAACAAAGTCTCAGCTTGGGGCCCTCTTGTGAGGGATGTACTGGGACTATTGGTGTGGTGTTTTTAATGGAACTATCCTTAAGTCAGTTCCAGCTGCTCTTTGAAAGCCTACAAGAGTAAATAAAAGAAATCTCTATGGGTTGATAGACGTTCAGAGGTATGGTGATTTCACTTGTCAGGTTTTTCCTGAAGTTGTACATGTGATGCTCCAATTTTGCTTTTCTTTATGAATTGCTTAAGAAATCAGCTCAAACCATGTAATTATGGAGATCAAGCTTGAAGGACAAATTTTAGGCTGGCAAATTTTTAAGTATGGAGAAATTCTCTACCCTGATACAATGGGAATCATTTTGGCATTATTGATCCTAGTTTTATTCTCCTATATGATAAAGATCATATATGTTTTGGGAGGAAAACCAGATAGTAATACTGTACAGAAAATTATACATGTACATTACTGTAAGTATGGCTTACATCAATAATTATTGAACCAGGCATGAAAAACAATTCCTCCCACCCCCATGCTCTAGAATATTTAAAGTACTGGGGAGTTGGGTCCTGCCGGCCCCTGCGCGAGAAGCGCGGCGGACCGGGTCCTTCTCTCCTGCGCGGCCTTAGCCAGGTTTTAATAAACACCATGCTGGACGGCAATTAAAAACAATAATCAACTATTAAGGAGAGATGCTTGTTGTCACCAGTTTATTGAGGGAAATTCACAGAG